CCCTGCCCCCCCCCCCCCCGAATCACGCTTCTCTCTCCAGGCTTCTGTACGTCTTTGAATCAGTGAAGCCACGCATGATCCATTCATAGGAACTGAGAATAAAAACTACAAGGCCCATCTGCCACTGCGGCAGAGAGATCCGTAGTGCTCAATGGAGTACAGACGCGGTGACATCACTATCCTTCCTCCAGCTCCATAACCCAAAAGGATCGTACCTCTGTATGGACAGGGGCTGGAGGAATAGTCTGCAGGGACCTGTGCGCTGCACCTGAGACCCCATAATGGTAGTGGCAATGCTTTGCAAGCTCCAATGAATGGAGCTTCTGTATTGTTTTCTCTATGGGTGCATTTATTTATTGTTTGCAAAACGGGGAAAATGCCTTTAATCCAGACTCTGCATTGAGCTTTGTATAGTGCCACCGAACTGAAGGAACTCCTGCATTCTACACTGTCTGCCTGGCCATTTCTGAACTGTGGACAATGTCTTGGTGCTGATGGGAGGCCATTTCTGAACTGTGGACAATGTCTTGGTGCTGATGGGAGGCCATTTCTGAGCTTTGTACAATGTCTTGGTGCTGATGGGAGGCCATTTCTGAGCTTTGTACAATGTCTTGGTGCTGATGGTAGGCCATTTCTGAGCTTTGGACAATGTCTTGGTGCTGATGGGAGGCCATTTCTGAGCTTTGTACAATGTCTTGGTGCTGATGGGAGGCCATTTCTGAGCTTTGTACAATGTCTTGGTGCTGATGGGAGGCCATTTCTGAGCTTTGTACAATGTCTTGGTGTTGATGGGAGGCCATTTCTGAGCTTTGTACAATGTCTTGGTGCTGATGGGAGGCCATTTCTGAACTGTGGACAATGTCTTGGTGCTGATGGGAGGCCATTTCTGAGCTTTGTACAATGTCTTGGTGCTGATGGGAGGCCATTTCTGAGCTTTGTACAATGTCTTGGTGTTGATGGGAGGCCATTTCTGAGCTTTGTACAATGTCTTGGTGCTGATGGGAGGCCATTTCTGAACTGTGGACAATGTCTTGGTGCTGATGGGAGGCCATTTCTGAGCTATGGACAATGTCTTGGTGCTGATGGGAAGCCTCACGTTAAGGTCTACTTGGCCATGTCTATGAGACTCTGCAGAGAAGTCGGCACCCATGTTTTCTCCCCCTGGACGTACACCACCCCTCTGTCTATGTAAATCACAATACGGTTGAAGTTGTAGAGTTGTTTCCCCTCGTGCCTCTTGCCGATCAGCGGCATGAAGACAATGTTGTGCTCCTCTGCCTTGGACTGGATAAGGTCCTTAAAGTTCATGGGCACTGAGGCGACCCCGATGCCTCTCTGCGCGATGCTCTCTGCTTCTCGCCGCTCCTGCATGGCCTCGTACTGGAAGTCTTTCCTCCTCTCGGTCTGAGTCAGGTATGCGATGCTTTCCCGGGCGCCGGGCTGCATGTATACTCCTGGAATAGGGATAACAAAAACACACAGGCTTACATCCAACATCCGGCTCAGTGCCTCACAATGAATTGAAGCCCTTTAATTAACAGCCAAACATTTGGCATTTTTAAATAAAAAGGGCATTTAAATAAACTTTATTGCTAAAATAAATATACAAAATAAAATGTCCCAGCAAATACGACATTCAGTACTCGGCTCTCCTGCTGCCCGCGCCGTTGCAGTGGGGGAGCAGAGATCAGAATCCCACAGTATTAGGCTCCATTCACACACAGTGGTTGCGTTTTGCGCTGGAAAACCACGTGGAACGAAACCGCGCAAAAGTTAACACAAGCGCAGATTCCACGCGTTTAGCCGTAAAGTGCAGAATCCACTCATATTGCACTTGTACTATTTTGGGGGACGCGGGGTTCGTACCGAATGTAGTCAGATATGTGAATGGAGCCTTAAGTAGGGTACACACACTACAAAGATCGTCCGGTTCCCGATGAACCGGCCCAAATCTGCACAGTGGGCTCTGCTGTCGGCACCCTTCAGTCTGGCATCCCTCAATCAACTTGTCGAAGGAGCAGGATGGAAAATTCTAGGCGGAACACAGCTGCCAATTAATCAGCTACTAGCTCCAATTGGGTATTCTGACAGCGGTCGGCAGCTGCTGTCATAATGCAAGCACCAGAGGATTCGTCCAGCAATGCTTGTAAAATCTGTTCTATTTTTAAAAATAGACACATGTATACCAGTCTTTAGATTTTGAAGATTACTCAGCCAGTGATTCCTATTCGGTACTGCAAGTGGTGCAGGGAGAAATGAGCAATAAATGTCTTTGCTGGGAGCATGTTGTATTATACATTTAAACCTGAACCCTACCCTTCCCTTTAGTATTCATCTATTGTACTGAAATGGCTTACCCCGATTTCACTGCACACTTCGAGTTTCTCTGCATCAAGTCAGATAGAGCCCGCCTTATTTCCTGGCTGGAGGACATCCAGCATTATCTAGTTCTTTCCTCTCCAGCCTGACTGTCCCTGTTCCTCCCTTTTCATTCATTGGGATGAATGAAGGCAAAATATAAGAAAACCGGACGTCGGCTTTAAAGGAGAACTATGGGGTCCGGGCTTTTCCACAAAGTTCTCCTTAGGGTAACGGGAGGACACAAACTAGCGTCCTCCCTTCACCCTAAGCTCAGTATACCGCGAGATACAGCTTGCGGTATACTGAGACGCTGAAGCGGATCCCGACAATTATGTCTGGATCCGCCCAGCTGCGTGAGTGACAGCTGGCTCTGCCTATCTAGAGGCAGAGCCAGCTGTACCCCTCCCCCGTCCGTTCCGCCAGTCAGCGCTGGCGGATCGGAGCGGGGAGGGGGGAATCCAGTTCCTCCCCTGTCACGGCAGAGAGCCGTGACAGGATCAAGAAGTGAGCGAGCGCCGGTATGTGTTCACTCACTTCCCGATCAGACCTGTGACAGTTTCATTGTCACAGGTCGGCTAGAACTATGAGGTGAGTGAAAAGCACTCGCCTCATAGTTCTCCTTTAACTCCAGTTTTACTAACTTGCATTTGATTACCTGCCGGCCGTGATGTTACCCAACATTGCCTTGCTGAGAGAACCATCAGTTCATATAGTACATGTCCGCACTCACCGACATTGGAGGACACAGCTCTGTTCATAATGTCTAAGGCCTCGTTGAAGCGCTCCTTGATACCTGGGTGAGCCAGCAACTGGTCGGAGAACATCGACTTCCAGCCCAGGTACCACTTGGTGATCTCCTCATAGTTGGGGCTGTTGCTGAGCCAGGAACACAACACCTGTGAGGAAGATGAACAGGAAAGGGTAATATTATATATAGTAGGTTGCCTGGTTTCAGAACATCAAAATAAAGAAAAAACATTTTGTGTACTTATCAGTCGTATTCACACCACCGTGCTGTGATAAATAGAAGTTTATGTGCATTGTGATGCCATTCATGTGGGTTGCACCCAGTCTTTAGTACCCCGCAATGCACAATTGTGAACACTCTGGGGGTCATTCATGAAAACTGGAACAGACAGTTTTCTTATGACAACCAATCAGCTTCTCTCTTCAGTTTGCTCAGTTAAGCTTTAAAAATGAAAATTGGTTGCCATGGGCCACTGCTCCAGTTCTTATGAATTCCCCGCCTCTGTGTTGACAGGCAGTCAGCTAATATTTTCAAAAGCAGAGATCAGCAATGGACATTAGGGATGCACTGATGTTGATACTAGTATTGGTGCCGATACCGAGTATTTGGGCGAGTACTCGTACTTGCCCAAATGCTCTGATGCCTAGCCTGATACCCGCATTTCTGGTATCAGGAAGCTGGGCAGCGAGTCATTTCACTTGGTGACGAGGGAGCATGAAGCTGGCAGTGTGTAATGACTCGCCGCCTAGCTTTCCGATTGGTCGGGAAACTGGCCAATCAGGAAGCCGGATGGCGAGCATTCTCCGGCGC